AACCTAGATATGGAACAGCATAGAGAACCCAGAAAAAAAGTCACACACCTACAACCATCCTGATCCTCAACAAACCTGATAAAAATAAGTAATGGGGAAATACTCCCTATTCAATAAACAGTGTTAGGATAGCTGGCTATTCATATGCAAAAGAATGAAACTGGAACCCCACCTATTACCATAAAAAAAATTAACTCAAGACGAATTAAAAATTTAAACCTAAGACCTCAAACTATAAATATCTTAGAAGGAAACCTAGGAAAAACCCTTCTCAATATCCATCTTGGCAAATAATTTATGTTAAAGACCTCAAACTCAAATGCAACAAAAACGCAAATTGATAAGTGGGGCCTAATTAAACTAAAGACCTTCTACACAGCAAGAGAAACTATAAAGGGAGTAAACAGCCAACCTACAGAATGAGAGAAAGTATTTGTGAACTTTGCATCCAACGACGGTCTAATATATAGGATATATAAGGAACGTAAACAAATCAAGAAGCAAAAAACAAATAACCTCTATAGAAAGCAGGCAAAGGGCATGAACTTCTCAACAGAAGACATACGCAAGTAGCCAACAAACATATGAAAGAATGCTCATAATCACCAATTATCAGAGAAATGCAAATCAAAAGCAAAATGATATATCATCACACACCAGAATGGCTTTTGTTAAAACTTCAAAAAATAACAGAAATTGGTGAGGTTACAGAGAAAAGGGGATACTTACACACTGATGGTGGATATGTAAATTAGTCTATTCACTGTGGAGTGCAGTTTGGAAATTTCTCAAAGAACTAAGAGATGAACTACCATTCGACCTAGCCATCCCATTACGGGGTATACACCAAAAAGAAAATAAATCATTCTACCAAAAGGGCATGTGAACCTGTAAGTTCACTACAGTGCTATTCACAATAGCAAAAACATAGAATCCACCCAGATGCCCATCAAATGGTGTACTGGATAAAGAAAATGTGATACACACACACACACACACACACACACACACACACACACACACCATGAAATACTATGCAGCCACAAAAAAGAACAAAAGTATGTCCTTTGCAGCAACAGAGATACAGCTGGAGGCCATTATACTAAGTGAATTAATGCAGGAACAGAAAAGTAAATACAACAGTTCTCACTTATAAGTGGGAGCTATACACTGGGTATACATGCACATAAAGAGGAGAACAATAGACAGTGGGGACTAATAGTAGAGCAAGGACAGAGGAAGGAGGACAAGAACTGAAAAACTACCTTTTGGGTACTACATTCACTAGCTGGGTGATGGTTTTAATTGCACCCCAAACCACAGCATCATGCAATATACCTTTGTAACAAGCCTGCACAGGTACTTCACAATTCTAAAATACGTTGAAAAATAAAAGAAAAAGAGTATATGGAAATTCAAATGAAAACAACTACCATGTTATATGTGATAATTTAAATATACACCATTAAAATATTTTAATATTTTAAAATGAATTTACTGCTAAAAAAATTTTTTCTGTACCATCTATTGTACATTTTCAAAAACCTTTTTTCTTAGACTACATGATTTTCTGTTCTGTTCTTCTAATTAAGATATGGACTGTTGTTTACAGCTCTGTGATGTGAAATTAGACTAGCAGTTTTCTAATATCCATAAAATAATTTAAAAATGTTTCTCCTCTGAAAGTCACATAATTCAGTCACAGAGAGCTTATTTCTTTGTTTCCTTTGTTTTGTTGTTTTTAGCTGCTTCGTAAGCCAATTTTCTACTTAGAATCTACTGTTAAAATTCTCATTTGGTTCAGTATGTGGGTTTTATCCTTTCCATGGTCTGCTATGTAAAGAAAGATGGCTTTAAAAAATTTTTTTTTAAGTTTGCTGTATAGCAGTGGTTCTCAACTTGGATACACACAAGAATCACCTAGGGAACACATAAAAAATACTGCTACTCCCTCCCTTCCAGAGATTCGGATGTAACTGGTCTGGGTGAGCCCCTTTTAAAAGCTCTGTAAGTGACTTTAATACATTGTCAAGGCTAGGAACTACTGTTCTAAGATCCTTCCATTGTCCAAATAAAAGCTTATTATCTTTTCTGATTGAACCTAGATGATAAATGCTTTTTAAATATCCTATAGTTCAATAGATCCAATGAAGAAATTTCTTCTCTGTGAGGCTGCTATATTTTTAGTTTGAATTTTAGGGTTTAAGAGTATATTGCATCTTTATCCTGATGATTAGTCCAAGAAGCTCCTTGACTGCTACTGAAAAAAAAAATTTAAAGGAATATATTCCTGAATACTACTTTAATAGACTGGTGCTTTTGGTTCATAATATTCTAAAAATTTCTATACCTCATATTTAAAGATTATGTCTCCACACACACACGGAAAACAATTAGTGTCCTAGACATTTCTTCTAAAAGATTACACTTTTTGCATAATAAATTTCACATAAAGTTCTAAAAAAGAAATCTTTACAAATTTTTCCAGCTAGAATAACTAAAAGGACTAATTCCTAAAACAAAAGCTCTTGACAAAAAAATGAATTATGTATCTTAACAAGATCAAAAGGGAGGAAATTATACAATCAGTGGTGAATAAAGAATCATGTATGAATTTGGATACTTTATGAAAAAATATTTGAATGCATAAAATGAGTAATTTTCTAGAAACACAAATTACAGAAATAAAAGGAAAAAAAACCCTTTAAAAGTAAAATCAGTAATGAAAAATCTACCCTCCCTGAAAGACACCACACCCAGGAAATTTTAAAGCTAAGTTTTACCAAACTTTCAAATATCAATTTCTTTTGGTACTGTTTCAGAGAGGAGAAAAGGAAAAAGCTAGCCAAATCATTCTACAAAGCTAGTATAACTTTGATATCGACCCTACAAAGGATAATTTAAAAAGTAAAATTGTGAGCCATGCTCATATTTGAGCACATTGAGAAGCCTCTTCAATCTTCCCTACTTAACATCTCTTTAAGTAGAATCAATCACCATTTCCGTTGGCTCCCACTACAGCTTATGCATACTCTACCCACAGCACCATTAACACTTTAATGCACTTACACATTTTCATATTTGTCTCTTATTGGCAGACACTAAGATCCTTGCTGGCAAGGACAGTTTCATATCCCCCTGGTATGAAATACACTGTTTCCCCCCATGGTCATGCTCAATAGTTGCTAAATAACGGCTATTACAAGTAGAAATAGCATTAACGTGCACATGCAGAGGTAGGAAATCATGATTTCGTAAGTAAATTCATTTAACTAAGACATGGTTTATGTAAGGAAACAACATTGGAAAGGTAAGCCAAGGCCAATCAGGGTGGGTTTTTTAGTGCTGAGGCTGGGTTTGGTTTTAGCATCTATGGAAGACTTTTGGGCAGGCAATGTCTAAATCAGATCTGTGCTTCAGGATCCATAGAAGCACTTTTTGGAGCTGTTAAAGACCTAGAGGTGACCTATCAGGATTAAATCTATTGTTTTAAAAGTAAGAATACTAAAGCCAGAGAGGGAAGGTTATCAACTCAAAGCCACAGAACACAGAATTAGCTAGAAGCAGGCAGAAGCTTAGAGGGAGTCAACTTGATTAAAATCACATAGTAAGTACATGGGGCAACCAACAGGCAACCCCAAGTTTGTTCAATTATCTAGATGACACTAGGCAATGAGATATGTAGACTATGTATATCCTTTTAGGACAGTCCTAATTTCATATAAGGACTCATTTCAAAGAAAGGTAATTTGTAAAATATATAATTAAAAACTAATTATTTTTACTTTTCTAAGACACACATTTAATTGAATTCTAATTAGTTTAATTACATTAAGTCATTTTAACAAAGTCTTCTACTCATTGAACTTCTGAACCCAAGATCAATAAAATGGTGATCATGAACAGGAAGTGAGTAGGTAAAGAGCACTTCTTTAGCCTCACAAAAATCCGCACCTACATCACTACAAGTAATTTTAGTCACTGCAACAGAATTAGAAAAGTTTCAGAAAAAGCAAACTAAAAAATCTAGAAGTAATTAAGAGGATATTTGCAGAAGACATACATACATATATATTACACATCAAACTTTAGGATGCTCCAGTCTTAAAAGATAACCTGAAAGTTTATAAAGCTAGGAGAGGTAGGTAGGGATAGAAAATACTTAAACTTATTCATCTTATATTGAAATATTAATTCTGAGAAATAGAGGAAAATATAGGAACATACTATTTTATCTACATAAAAAGAGGGAGAGAGGGAGCTTTTTTTATAGTTATAATGAAAAAACAGAGAATTTTGTACCCAAAGTACTAGTACAAACTGAAAATACACATAGGTTCACATATATGAATGAATGATCAAACAATAATCATGAATTGATAGAGGATATAGTCCTTACCTCATAGACTAATCTATAGTTCTCCTTATATATCCTTGACCCAGCTAAGGTCTGGCATGAAGGGCCTTACACAATATAAGCATTTGACTAATGTTTGTTAATTGACTGAAGTTTGAAGAGGGTAATTGGTAACAAAAGCTTTCACAGGCATGATATGAGTAAACAGTAATGATGGAACTAATAATGATAATAACATGTGTCATAATAGTGAACAATGATTCAGGGCTTCATATATATTGATATTGCTCTAAATGCATGTATTAACTCATTCATCATCATTAACTCTATTTTTCAAATAATAAAACAATAGCACATACAAGTTAGTAACTTGGTCAAGGAGAGGAAGCTACATATTGGCAGAGCTAGCATTTGAACCTGGAAGCTTCACTCTAAATTACTACACTATTCTGACCAGCCCTGGAATTGTCTGGGAATCTTCTAGATGTGATACTTTTTAGGATCTCATTTCATATATAATTTTCTTTTTTTTAATATTTGAAAAAATAAATTATAGGTAAAAAATAATTCACATTTCTTTCAAAATAGAAAAATCTAATAATCCTATTTATACTTTATTAAAATGTACATATTTTAGATTTACCTCTAGTCTTCCTTGAACATAACCCAGGAGGAGTAGATTGGCTCTATCCTTCTCAGAAGAAATGGGGGCCCAAGGCCAAGCATCATCATTGACCAGTGGCCACCAGCAAACAACTCTATCATGAACACAGTTGATAGCTAGACGACGCTCTGTTGTCTTGTTTATTGGGCCAGGTATTTCATAATAGAAAATCTAATGATTTAAAAAAAGCATACATGAAACATTTCTTTTGAAAGACGCAAAATCCTCAAAGTATTACAAAAATGAAAGCATCTGGAAACGTAGATACATTCAAGTAAATATGCATGTTAAACATGTGCTTAAGAAGCTGTCAGAATTTACCAAATTCTTTTGACACATATATAAAAAAGACATATGCTCAAAATTCTCCCCATTTTAGCAAAGGAAAGAAAAGAAGAAATGTGAGTTAGGAAGGAAGTGAATGTAGCAATTCCAATCAATACCAAAATGTACAGTCATGGTTACTTGACAGTATCGACCTACACATAGGATTTAAGACCAACTGTATAAAATGACAAGTTCAGTACTGCTGACCAAGAATGTCTCACTACTATTTAAGACATAACATGTTAACAATGACTGACAACAATAAAAAGAAAAACAACTTGAGGCAAACATCTCTTTAAAGAATATATGAGACATATACACATATATTCTGCATAAAAGGGATAAGCCACAGTATCATGCATAAAAGTTTATGCAGCTTCTGAGAATTATGCTTCTCTTTCTTAGGAAGGATTTGTAGAATTTATTATTCAAACTATGTTATTTTGGAACATGGTTATTTGAAAACATAAGCACGGCACCATCTGTGTGACACATGCCAAGGAAATATAGATTGCACCGTATTTCTGCTTAAGGAATTAATGGAAGGTTGATAGCTTGGAAGAAAAAAAAAACTATCTTGCCATTGCTGGTCAGCAATAATCGAACCACTTTCTGGGGATTAAGCGCATGGCTAAGCCTACTGGACCAGACACTAGCAAAGGGCAGGGGGTCTTCTTATCAGAGAAATGCTTCTGGAGCCAGTCTCACTACATGACAGATTGCTTTCATATTCCTGTCTGCAAGGCAACAAAGGATGGCAGTAATGCGATAATGCCAGAGTGCAATGGGTGTTAAGAACCGGTTGCATTTATGTATTGTATTTAGTAAATAATCAGGCTCATCCAAATTGTGATCTCACCACTCAACCAAGGCCATTAAAATCAAGGTTAATGCTTTAATAATCCTCTGCTATTTTTTTTCAATATGGTCAAAAGGAACCCTTTTCTATTTGCATGGCCATAATATTATTGACCTCTTCATCCTCTGAATGCACATCAAAAGAAACTAAAATCAAAGTAATTACTAGTGTTGTCTCATGGTAAACATTTAACTCCTTGCACTGTCCCTTCACTGTTAAATAAATTGAATTGGATTTTTCAAATGTAGATAGGAAAACTTGTTAAAGGTCAATAGTTTAAGGATGTTTACCCTGCAATTTTCTTTGCCAAAATTATGTCAATCTGAAAGAATTAAATTATGGTACAGCTGTAAAGAAAAGCAAAATTACAATACTCTATACCACTTCCTCGTTTTAAAATCCAAATGGGCAATGACAGACAACACAGATGTACTTTATGCTAGTAAGTGCAATTTCTTGTATTTAAGCTCTCAGTATCATTGTTGTAAGTCTTCTTATTTGAGAGAAGTATCACAAAGAAATTGCTAAGTACTTAAAAATACACATATATTATTTTGATGTCTGATGTGCCACATAAATATGCTACCTATGAATTTCTAGATTAGTTTGAGTTACAATGAGTGACTGACATTTTCAGTTGTCACATAATGCAAATCACTTATGTTAGGAAATTTCGTGTTTCCTATGAGTTTAATATTATCAGTATTCTGTCATGATGATCAAGAGGGATAGTAAAATAAAAGAAATTTCTTAAAATATCCTTCCAATGGACAAACAGCAGATTTGACTAAGTATTAAATATATATATTTTAATATTAAACCAGAAAATAAAACTCATGAGCTTTCCAAGGGGAAACAGATTACTTTTCTAATGTACAGAAATGACATGATGTCCATGTTCCTATTTTCTCAAACCCAAAGGCATATTCAAATAAGCAAGTAAGTAATTTCTTTACTTAAGGCTTAAGGATCCAAATGCTAGATCTGTTTTCCATATCTTATCATAAAAAAAGATGACATCTTGATAGTTTCTCTCTGCTCTCAGGTAGCTACTACTCTTCAGTTGAGAAGATTTTGTCAAGCTATCACACCTAACATGAAGAAACTAGTCATCCAAAATTTTATATATACTTACTTTAAATGGGTTAATGCACACTGGTACATTTTAAAGAACGATCATAGTAAATAAACAATATTTCAAGTAAATCTGGAGTTAGCCATTCTTGAACTAACATCCCTTAAGAATGCTAGTATCATTTTTGTTTTGGCTAACCAGGTATCACATATAAGTAGCACTGATTTCCTGTTTTAAAAAATCTATATTAGAGTTTGACAGAAGTTTCACAAAGCTGGCAAACAAAACCAGATTGTAGTTTATTACCATAATGAAAAACTCATTGAATATATTTTATTCCATGTTAAATTTATTTTTTATAAGAATAAATGTTTCTACTAAATAAAACTAAACCTTCCCACACTACTGCCACCTCACGGATAAGTAATAATCCCAAAGGGTCAAAGGTTAAGTTAAATACTACTTTGCCAAAGACACACACGCGTTTCAAGTTACAGAGCTAGCTTCTCAAACTCTCTGCCCTTGAATTGCTATAGATGCTCTAGGTATGGCTAAGTGTGCATCTTTTTTAAGGAAGCTATATATCAGCTGTGTTCCCAGCGAACAGTGAACTGTCTCAAATCCACATCACAGAGGTTGGATCAATCTTGCAAACACAAGTCATTGCTGAAAAGAGGCCTTGAACTGAAACAGCCTGGAAAATGTATTAGATACTCATCCTAGCAGAGAATATGCCTTCCCAGCAGTTAAAATGTAATGTGGCAAAACTTAAATTAAACACATCACTTAAAATAAAAATTCTGCCTTAACAGATAGAAAGCCCCTGATACAGTAAGGAAACAAATTACCTGGAGTTAGTGAAGAGAGAGATACTAATACATGAAGGAGATTTCTTTTTGCATTTTCTCCAGTTATACTTGGAGGGGGAGGGTTCTTCCCCCTCCCTGTTTATTACACTTTTCTATTAACCTTTGAAAGTGCCTTCTTTCTTTCTTCTCTTATGAAGTGGAAACCAGAGCAGCTATCCTACACTAGAAAGATGGTATGGGGTCTTAGCGTAAAATGAGAATGGTATATATACTACCACTAGCAAGAAAACCATTTTCAAAAGTGTAACTTGCCTCTACTATCTGTCTTTGACAACTATTAATACTATTTAAATTGCTCCAAACATGCCATTGTTAGACACACCCCCATAGCAGGAGTAAAAAAGAAAACTTAGGATGGCCACTGTTTGCAATTAATTAAGCTTAATCCTGTAACATTTCCAGTTTTTCTGAAATCCAGCAATGTTCAAGAATAATGAGCAGAACACGAACTTATGTTGATACTCATATATACCTTAATAATTAATAAAAGGACTATATAAATCAAAATCTTTACCTTATAATCCAAGGCTGACAGTTTTTCCAGTCTTTTGTTTACATCAGAAGAATCCATCTTCTTGGTAAACTGAATAAAACATAGCTTGTTTTGTGCCAGAAATGATAAGATGATAAAACTGTCTGTGAGAAGAGCTAAAAAACATAATTAGATAATATCAAGTTAGAATAAAATAATGAGTAAACACGGAAATATTACAAAAAGCTATTTTCAAACATACATACTACATATTAATTGAAATCACTGAAGTCTCCTGAATATCATTATAGCATTTTACAAAAATATTAAAGATATTAGGAACAAACAACAATTATCAATCTAATCATGTATGATTCTTTTTTCCTGTGACTATTTCAATATACACTAATGTGTGGAGACAACCACCGAATTAGATGTATTTAGAATCGGGGCTATAAAGGTATTTTAAAAAACTATTTCATACCTGAATATGGAGATGAAAACATTCTATTTTATTTGTGCTAAGATTTTAATCCTAATTACTTATCCATGAAGTGGCAGTAGTGTGGGAAGATTTAGTTTTATTTAGCAGAAATATTTATTCTTATAAAAAATAAATTTAACATGGAACAAAATATAGGATAAAAATAATCTGAGGATAAAGTAGATTTATTAGGGGATATTGATCAGTGATCTCCACCAGTCTCTTTATTTAAAAACATTTTATCAATGAATCCTCTTTTAGGGGTATACAAGCTGGAGGAAATAAAGCATATTACACCCAATATGTACATATTTATGTACCCAATATTTAATCATACCCAGTATTTAATCATGAAAATTAGCAACAATATTTCTACAGCTTTGTCACTAAAGCACACAGATAGGTAGATAACTAATATTCATGGATTATATAAAGAGCCATTAATGTTATATAAAGTTATTGATAAAAACATATTACAGGAATCTGAGAAATGTTTTGCATCATTCCTAGCATAAATTATTAAATGTTTTATACATTTTCCTTTACTTTCACACCCCAACCATGCAAATATCGACCAACAGCAGATCTACACAATTACAAGAGAATCTGGAGAACTGCCAAGAAATCACACTGTTACCATATTCCCCTGAGAATGTATTATTTTGGGTATAAATAAAAGAAATACGCGAAAAAGGGTAACTCAGAGACACGAATTGTGTTGGATATCTCCTTTTAATTCTCATTCAGGAGTATCAATTTAAGAAAATCATCACAGCCAGTATTTTATTTGTAGTACCAACCAAGGGCTCAATTATTAGACATATGAAAATGGAACCTCTTCCAAAGGGAAGCTTCCTCAGCACCTTACTCCTGTAAGGAAGGGGAAATGGCATGCTTACAATCCTACCCCCAGCTTATTACTAACACTAATGTTGCTAATTATAGCCATCCTGCAGAGTTCTTTTCTTCAAGATGATGTGATTGTGTCTGATTTATTCAGAGGTGGCTAGTAAGAGCACACAGCAGACAGAAGATTTCTTTATTCTCACCTCTGTCCTTTCCACTAGGACATACTTCCTTTGATTACTAAATTTAAGATACTGACCATTTCAATCTTTCATAATAATACAATGTTTCTCAACCTTCTTACCTTGAATGAAAGAATATAATCTTTAAAAATTCAGGAGTCAGCACAGTATAGTGAAAAGAAAACGTACTTTGCAGCTAGAACCTGTATTCAAATCTCAGCAAAATCACTTTCTAGCTATATGACTCTGGACACGTTCCTTAGTAGCTCAGCTTCCGTTTCCTTATACAACTGTTTTGTTGTATGAAATGAAATAGGTACATTAGGAACCCAACATAGAGCCTTTTGGCTCAATAAATGTCAGTATCCTTCTTATTCAATAGCTGGCTTAACATCTTTTTCTTATGTGCTTTGTACCAATTATACAAATCAGTGACTGATTATGATGTCACTTAATAGGATCTGATTATGCAGTATATTTGGCATTGATAGTTACTATTTAGAAAATACAGCCCACAGTCTCTCAAAAGTTAATATTCCTAAGATTTTAGTAACAAAGAATCTTCCTATGACAGCCAAAACACCAATTGTTTACTGGTTACTGGGTTGATATATTTGTGTTATTTATTCAAAATTCATTTGGAAATGAAATATATATTTGAAGTACCAATTATAAAGAACTAATTTTAAAATAATGAAAACAAAAGTCTATTTTGAAAAAATGTTCACTTCTTCTAAAGAAAAAGTGAAAACTCACAATATAAGCTTAACACTTGACAAGAAGAAAAAAACATCGATATTAAATATCAGTCAAAACTTGTATTGGTCCCAGGGAGGTTTAAGTATGCTATTACAAGCAATTACTTGTTGTGTTTGCAAGTCCCCAGTGGTAATAATTAGTCTACCTGTTGACACACTATTTCTCCTGCCCCACTGTTAATGTAGGCAATTGATTTGCACATGGGGGTAATTACCATCACTGATGGTGTCTGAGATGAGTTTCCCCACCAGGCTTCTGTCAATCACCACTTTCTCCAGCTGTGGCCCAGAAAGGCTTAGGGACACCAGCACACCTGAACCAAAGAGGAGCTAAAAACAGGTAAGGAGGGAAGAGAGGGAAGAAGACATGCTGTGATTGAGAATCTTTAAAAAACCTCTCTCCAAATGTACAACTTATACAGATATTTTACACATGCATCTACACTATAACATGATAGAGAATTTTCTTCACTGAAAAACAATTACTGACATTATGGGTAAAAAGAGACAGGTGGTTAAAGGATGCAATGCAATAAGTGCATTGATTAAAGCTACATGCAGAAACCTAATTTAGTCTGTTTATCAGAAGTCTAATCTTATAAATACTTAGAAACCACCTATGCAGAAATAACTACTTTGTTTTGGATTCAGAAAATGTACTGTATTCTATTGAGATATTTTGAAAGATTACTACTATATAATAAACCAAAACATTTCTTGAGGTTTGAATAGTCATTGCTGCACATTAAATACATAAGAGATGCCACTATTACAATATAAATAGCTAATGTCATGCATTTATTTGGAAGTTAAACACTATTTCTAAAAATAAAGATCTTATCAGTCTAAAATGTTAAAATACATGTAAATCTAGGCAATTAAGTAAAATGTTAAATTTTTAAATCATAAACAATACATATCAGAAACAATTTCACAAGGAGAGATAGAGGAATACAGTAAAGCATCTAGGCTTTATCAATATCAGTGTTCACAAAATCACTCGACAAAAGATGACTGGATATCACCATTATAATTTTATACTGCTCCTTTCCATTTGTGGCAGCATAATTCATTCATCTCCAAATGTTTAAAACTTCTGAAAGGACTATGCATATGTGTATGCTTGTTATCTATGAGATTATGAAATATCAACATTGGAAGAAATTGTTTCACCTTCAAGGCAACAGACTCAAAGCTGATGAATCATGGAATAACATATGGTATAAGAAGAAAAAAACCAATTGTCAGTAAACTAATCATCAACATGCTAGCCAAATTCAAAGACAACTTTGATTTTAAACAAAACAGGGGAATCCCCCACCCACCTAGGCATCATGTCCCAGCTAGAGAGGATGATTCTGTGTTGAGACATATTTGGACATGTGTTAAAGATAAGCAGCATGAGGGACCAGGGTAATATAAAGACAGACCACCATTCCTTACTGCCTAACAGATTCCAGGCACATGATTCAGAAAAGAAACTGAAGAGTTTCTTTGCATTTACTGTTAGAACTCTTGTCCTAGTCACCAGAAAGTTTACCTTTACTTGACTTAACAGATTATTCCATTTTATATTAATACCTCTAAAGGGGCAAAGAGTGGGAGGTACTTAATCATCTTTATGGGTTTTGGAGACCAGTAGGAGTCTCCAAATTTAAAATGTTTCACGAATTAATCTCTACTGAATTACATCCAGCCCTACCATAAACCTTAATGGCAAATAGTGATATTTCCTTTTTGAAGAATCCCCCCATAGCAACACAGCATGTGGTCTTCACTCCCCAAATTCTCCCTTATCAGGCAATTTTAGGGACATCTTTCCTATGTACTTCTCCCCTTTCTCCTTTATTCAAAACATCTCTAAAATCTATTGTTTTCTATTTATTTTTCTCTACTAAAGCTTTACACCTATACTCTTAAGCACTTCTTCTCCTAACTACCCACTGACTATCAGCTCCTTAAGGATATTTGCTTGGCCACATTTATCTTTGTAGTTCCAAGAATACAGTAGGTGCTCCACAAATGTTTGGAGAAAGAATAATAACTAACTCGATGGTACATCAGATAATTCAGAGTTACAAAAAACTCAGTCTAATTTTCCATTTCCACATGATGTGGATGTTCCTTCTGCAGCATCCCTTCAAGCATCTAGCCCATGCTTGAATAGTGCCAGTGATCAGGAGCTCACTGTTTCACAGAAAAGCTATTCTAACATGGGTCAGTTGTAATCAATTTAAAGATTCTTCATTAATTTTTTAATTCACCAAAAACTGAATGTTGATTATATACCAAGCACTGAAGTAAAGGGCTCAAAAAAAAAATCAAATATAATTCTTAAAGGTAGGTTAAATACAGGTTAATAAAAAGAGGTCGAGATCAAAGCAAATAACTGTAATAAGGTGCTGTTACCAGTTTACCACACCTATTATAGAAGTGCTTACTGGGTAGACTCAGAGAACTGAGAAGGAGGTGGTGACTCTTGAGACTGGGGCTAAGGATGCAACTGACTCCCTACAACTTCCACAGTACCTCAATTCTTCAATAGCACCCACCTCAAATATTCAAAGAAAATAACACAGTGGTTAAGGGCACAGACTCTGAAATCAGAATAAAATCAGAATTGGCCATACCTGTTACTAGCTGTGTGACACTTAGTGTAATTAAACCTCTCTATACCTTCATTTCCTCATCTGAAAATAAACACCTCCTTCACAGGATGAGGACTAAATAACTTTTTACAAAAAACGTTTAGAATAATGCCCTAATTGATTCAACCATTACTTGTATGATACTGTCCATAGTCTCCAAATCGCTGCTCCTGCCTCCATGCATAGATCAGTTATCTAACCAATGTATGCAAGCTTTTGGTTCCATGATACTCATCCCTTTGAATCCTATATTTAATAATGAATATCCTCACTACATTGTTAACCAACTCTGAACACATTTGTCTTTTTAAAAACCTTGTAACCCAGAATGGGCTCAGTGTTAGACATGGAACACTCAGGTGAGATGTAACTAGTAAAAAATGTAATCTTTTGTTGCCTTTCCCATTTGCTGTAATTTCACAGGATATTGTCTCCAAAATATTTGCAAGTTCCTTCAGAACTCTAGAGTTTAATTTTTCCAAGTCTCTAATTTCTTTTACCTTGTTTTCTGTTCTCACCACTGCTGTCATGAAATAACCCATATAGCTAAACAAAAACTGCTTTTTCTATGTATGAGTATTTGTTATAAAATTCTTTTTAAAACCCACTTTTATGGGATGAAGAAGGGCAGTGCAGCCTGTGAGAGTAGGTAAATGAGGGAATAGCTGCCGGAAAAGATTCAGAGGGGTGAGGGTAATGGAGCCAAAAGCATGCATACACTGGTTAGATAACTAATCTATGCATGGAGGCAGGAGCATTGATTTGGAGACTATGGATCCTGCCAAGTGAGGTTAGGCATTCCTCCAGAATCTTTTTCAAAGAATAGGTGCATCCGCTTTTTCATAAATTCACTCATTCATCCCATATATATATATATATATATATATATATATATATATAATTTTAGTATATCATATAAGCCAGGCACTGTTCCAGGTGCTGAGAAAGCAGTGAACAAAACAGACAATACCCTTGCCCTCCCTGCCCTCATGGAGCCTGCATTCAAGTGTGGACGCAGATAATAAAACAAATAATTTTAATATAATATGCAACAGCAATAAGAACTATAGAGCAAATTTAGGAGGGTGCTACTTTAAGCAAGATGGCTAATAAAGAAATAAGCCTCTCTGAGGAACTAACATTTGAATATAGACCCAAATGAAGTAAAGGAATAAGCCACATAAATATCTGAAGAAAAGGAGCTCAAGGCAGAGAGAAGAGCAAATGCAAAAACTCTGAGGTGGGAATGTGCCTAGGCTGATTGAAGAAAATTAGGCCAGTGTGGCGGGAGGGGAGTGATCAAAAGGGATATTCATAGAGTTTGAAATCAGAGAAGCAGTCAAGGGTCAGGTTAGGTTAGAAATTGTTGAAGAGAAGTCATTGAGTTTTAAGCAGCACAGAACTATAATATAATTTATTTTTAAGTGGGGGGTAGGCCAGATGTGGTGGCTCACGCCTGTAATCCCAGCACTTTGGGGGACTGAGGCTGGTGGATCACCGGAGCTCAATAATTAGAAACCAGCCTTGACCAACATGGTGAAACCTCGTCTCTACTAAAAACACAAAAATCAGCTGGGCATCATGGCATCCACCTATAATCCCAGCTACTAGGGAGACTGAAGCAGGAGAATCACTTGAACCCAGGAGGTGGAGGTTACAGTGAGCCAAGATCATGCCATTGCACTCCATCCTGGGCAACAAGAGGAAAACTCCGTCACAAAATATAAAAAAATAAAAATAAATAAAGTGGGGTGTCAGGGCAAGAGTGAAGCAAGGAGACCATCACCAGCCTATTGCATTGATTGAGGTGACAGAAAATGATGGCTTAGACTAGAATGAGGAAATGATAAGTGGGCAGAATTGAGATATATTTTAAGAAGTATCTACTAGCGCTTGCTGAAAAATTGAATGTGGTATATGAGAGAAAGACTCAAAGATTTTTGGCATGAGTAATAGTTTACTTTGACTGGAAATGCTAGAGGAAAAGCAAATTTAGGTTATGAAGAATCAAGAGTTTAATTTTGACAAGTTAAAGTATTTATGGACATACCAGGGGAGAGATCTAGTATGTAATCAGAAATGAGTCTCAACTTCATGAGGGACTACAGATGTATATTTAGTAGTCATCAACAATACAAAGGTAATATGTAAAGTTGTGGTACTAGACATGATCTCCTTTAAAAAATGAGTAGAAAGACAGAAATCGATCTAAGGTCTGAGATCTGGGACATCCTAACCCAAAAGATCAGTTTAGCCCTCTTATTGAACCTACTAAGTTTAGATACTTGAAAGATTAGGTATGTCCACCATTTCATATCTCCAAATGACCTATGGACTAGAGACACCCTGACACCACATTTTCGAATAAGAAGGTATAAATCAATTAATAAGCTAATTAATGCATTTCTATAAAACAGCCTATGGGGAAGCATAAAGTTGTCAAGTACTGGTGCCAAAGATATTCCTGGATATTGTAAAGGAGATAACTAGAGTTAGAAAAATATAGTCAAGGAAAGAATATTCCAGCCCAGACAGAAAAGTGCTATTCTCTGTCTGTTTCCCAAAAGTGGTCAGTCCTTAAGACCTCCAAAATGGAAAGGGGCTATGTAAGATTTGGTAGGACAAAAAGGAAAAAGAGCACCAAGATAGTGTCCTATTCCATTGCAAGGGGTTGGAGGGAGG